TTCAATTTAATTCAATATCATATAACAATTCTCTAATCAATTATAAACTAATCAATATAAATAGTCTGTGAGTATTTTGATTTATAATTATTGATATCAATGTTTCAATTTAATTTAAAATCATATAATAATTCTCTAATCAATTATAAACTAATCAATATAAATAGTTAGTGAGTATTTAGATTCATAATTATTGCAATCAAATTTCAATTTAAATTCAATATCTGATAACGATTCACTAATCAATTATAAACTAATCAATATAAATAGTCAGTGAGTATTTAGATTCATAACTATTGAAATCAATGTTTCAATTTAATTCTATATCATATAACAATTCTCTAATCAATTATAAACAAATCAATATGAATAGTCGGTGAGTATTTAGATTCATATTTATTGAAATCAATGTTTCAATTTAATTCAATATCATATAACAATTCTCTAATCAATTATAAACTAATTAATATAAATAGTCCGTGAGTATTTAGATTCATAATCAATGTTTCAATTTAACAAAATCGTATAAACTAATCAATATAAATTATATCACAGTGAGTGAGTATTCGGATTCATAATTATCGAAATCAAAGTTTCATTTTAATTCAATATCATATAATTAATTACCAATAATGGGTGTAGTGCCAAACTATTAAAAAATGAATTTGATAAATGGACAAGTGAAGATATAGAAATTGATAAATTTATCCAACAAATACAGCTAAAGGCAAATAAAAGACGAGAAATTATTGAATGGATTCCATTTGATAGACTTAAGAATGTCACGTACCTTGCTAAAGGAGGTTTTGGCACAGTATACAAAGCAGAATGGCTTGATGGACCTATTATTTTTTTTAATAATTTTAAAAAAAATTGGTTTAGATCTGGAAAAACAGATGTTTGCTTAAAAGTTCATGATAATTCCATAAACAAAATAGATTTTTTGCAAGAGGTAAATATTTTATTTTTTAATTTTCTTATTTTAAATAAATAGTAATTATATTTTATGTTAATAAATATTTTAGATTGAAAATCAATTTAAATTTCGAGGTAAAAATGCAGTTGCAATATATGGAATCACTAAAAATTCAACGAAAAATGAATATATGATGGTTATGAATTATGCAAAACTTGGTAATCTTCGAAAACTGTTAAATAACAATTTTAAAGAATTAACTTGGAGTAAAAAATACATTATTTTATCAAATATTGTAAATGGACTTAAAAATATTCATGAAATGGGCTTAATGCACAAGGATTTTCATTCCGGTAATATAGTTTATCAAACTTTTACTTTAAGTTATATTACAGATTTTGGATTGTGCAAACCAATTACAGAAAATGATACAGAAAATATTTATGGTGTAATTCCATACATGGCCCCTGAGACATTGAGTAAAGGAGAATATAGTCAAGCATCTGACATTTATTCTTTTGGTATGGTTATGTACGAAGTTCTAACTAGTTACCCACCATATCATAATATACCACATGATGAAAAACTTGTAATGGGCATTTGTGAAAGGCTTAAGCCTGAAATTAAATGTGAAATTCCTCAATTTCTCAAAGAAATAATGGAAAGATGCTGGAATTTTGAACCTCTCAATCGTCCAACTGCTGAGGAATTGAAATCTGAACTTGATAAATATCTTTCTGAGGATAATGAAATGAGAAAACAAGTAAACAAAGAAGTTAAAGCAGCAAATAAATCAAACAAGAATTTTATTCAATATGATACAAATGAAATGCATCCTGAAGCAATATATACAAGTAGACTTATATCAAAACTTACAAAGCCTGTATATGATGAGTATGATACAGATACATCTAGTAAGTATATTTTGTAAGAAATAAATTTCATTCACATTTTTTATAGAAAAAGAATTTTTATATTAACTATTTATTTAGATTCAAGACAGCAATTTCTTTCAATTCCCGATAATATAATTGGTAAATTTATTCCTTTAATTACTTTGTTTAATATATTTATTTTTAAAAGTTATTTAATATATTTTAATTTGTATAGTCGAAGATGAAAAAAAATCAAACTAAAGAAATTTAAATAAATTATATATTATTTGATTTGCTATTATTATAATTGATATTTTATTATTATTTTATTTATTATTATTATATTTATTATTTATATATTTGTATTTTTATTATTTAATTTTGATCACTGGAATTATAGAGTATAGCTTTTATTGAAACTAAAACAGACAGTATGTAATCATTTAAAATAAATCATTATTGGCTTGATATTCAAAAAAATGCAAATATTTGGATTTATTTATTATTTGTGTTTATACAGTTTATAAATTGTGCAAAGGTAAACTGAAAACCATATGAGTTAACTTTCTTTTTAACTTTTCCAATTGAAGCATAAACAAACTATACAGTTAGTTAAAAATAAAGTGTTATTTATATGTATAGTGGGGTATCAGACAACTGGAAATTAATAAAAAAAAAGGGTTTTGCTAAAGCTCACCGGTGGTGATTGTCACCGCCGGGCAAAATTACATAATTCCCTGATCAACCCTAACCCTAACTTTGCCCACCCCACGTAAATTTAATTTTACACAGCGGCGAAATCCACCACCAGTGAGCTTTAGCAATTTTCAAAAAAAAATCGCAAAATTTAAAATGCTAATTGACTCGCAACAGGTGATCTAAATTACATAAACTTTTTTTAATTAGATTCCCCTAAGGGGCATGCCAGAAATCATCTGATATTCATTTAGATGACACATCTATTGGTTACGTCTCATCTGTTCAAATTCCAGGACAACACTTTATAATGAATATTCTAATACAATATTTACCTCAAGCAATGGAGATAATATTAGCCATAAGATAAGTTATTATTTTTTTTTGGTTTAAGTATATGTGGCATGATTTTTATTTATAAATATATATCATCTTGTATTAATATTATTTAGTGTATGTGATGAGTTAAATAAAAATTATAATTTGAATGATGTTGATTTTTTAAAATAAATATTTATTAATTTTTCTAGAAGTTTCAAAATTTTAATACTTGATAAAAATTTGAAATTCAACAAATAATAATTCTTTTTGATTATAAACCAAATTATATACTCAATTCCTTGAATAAAAACAATATTTCACTTTATTACAAATTATATATGTAAATATTGTAGATACAATTATAAAGATATGTAAAAAAATAAATTCATAAAATTCCTTATGAAATGCAATTCATCATATTTTTATAGAATGCTTATGCAACACTTTTATAACACTTTACACAATCAAAATGGACAAGTTATTAAATAACTACAAACTCACCTCATCATGACATATCCAAAAATCCAGAATTCAGTCCCAGTTTAAGAATAATGGTGTCCAGCTTTGCCCAGTGTTATCAAATGTTATCCAATATCCAGTATTATCAAGTATTCCAGTATCTAGTGTTTCAGTATTATTCAATGTTGTACAGTATTCCAACTAGTAGTCCAATGTCATCTAGTGCTGTCCAGTATTCCAGTGTGTCCAATGTTTCAATGTTCCAGCTTTATCCAATATTCCAGTATTCCAATATTCCGGTATCCCATTATTGTCCATTATTCAGTATTCCAGTATTCTAATGTCATCCAATGTTCCAATGAGGTCCAGTATTTTGGTATTCCAGTGTTATCCAATATTCCAGTGTTCCAATATTATCTAGTATTCCATTGCTATCTGGTATTCCAATGTTGTTCAGTATTCATATCAAGCGCTATCCAGTGTTCCAGTGTTATCCAGTTTTGTCCAGTTTTCCAGTGCTCCATATAATCCAGTATTTCGCGTTTCAATGTTCCATTTTTATCCAATATTCCAATGTTATCCAATATTCCGGTATTCTAATATTATCCAGTAGTATTGTTGTCCAGTATCCAGCGTTCCAGCGTTCTGATGTTATAGTAGTGTCCATTATTCCAGTGTGCCCAGTGTTCTAATGCTCCAAAATTCCAGCATTCCAATATTATACAGTATTCCAGTGTTGTCCGATATTCCAGTGTTTTACAACATTTCAGTGTTACAATATTGTCCAGTGTTCCAGTGCAGTGTTATTCAATATTTCAGTGTTCCAATATTATCCAGTATCTAGTGTTCCAGTATTCCGGTGTTATCCAATATTCCAGTGCTATCCAATATTCCAATGTTATCCGTATTCAGTATTCTAGTGTTGTCCAGTATCCAGTATCCAGTATCCAGCGTTAATGTCATCCAGTGATCCATTGCTGTCCAGTTATCCAATATTGTTGTCCAGTGTTCAGCGTCAATGCAACGTTGTCCAGTGTTATCCAGTATTCAGTGGTTTAATGTTCCAATGTTATCCAATATTCCAGCGTTCCAATGCGTTATCCAATATTCTAGTGTTCTAATGTCAATGTTATCCAGTGTTCCGATGGTTTGTCCAGCATTTCTTTTTCCAGGTTCCAGCATTGTTCAGTGTTCCAGTGTTCCAATGTTGCCCAATATTCCAGTGTTATCCAGTATTACAGCGATGTCTAGTATCTAGTGTTCCAGTGTTACACAGTATTGTCCAGTATTATCCAGTATTTCAGTGTTTCAATGTTCCAGTGTTATCCAATATTCCAGCATTCCAAAATTATTCAGTATTCCAGTGCAATCCGGTATTTCAATGTTATTCAGTATCCAGTGCCAAGCGTTATCCATGTTCCAGTGTTATCCATTATAATCCAGTATTTCCAGTGTTGTTCAATATTCCAGTGTTCTATAATACTTCAGTGTTACAATATTGTCTAGTATTCTTGTGTTATCCAATATTCCAGTGTTATCCGAATCCGGTATTCTAGTGTTGTCCAGGATCCAGTATCCAGTGTTATAGTATTTTAATGTCATCCATTGTCCAGTATTGTTATCCAGTATCTAATGTTGTCCAGTGTTTTCCAGTAATCCAGTATTACAGTGTCGATGTTCCAATGTGTTAACCAATATTCCAGAGTCCAAGTGTTGTTCTAATGTTGCCTAATATTCCATTGTTGAAGCATTGTCCAGTATCCAGTGTTCTAGTGTTACCCGATATTGTCCAGTATTATCCAGTATTTCAGTTTTTCAATGTTCCAGTGTTATGCAATAACCCAGGATTCCAATATTATCCAGTATTCCAGTGCAATCCGGTATTCCAATGTTGTTCTGTATCCAGTTTTCAAGTGTTATTCAGAGTTCCGATGTTATCCGATGTTGTCTAGTATTATCCGTGTTATCCGACGTTGTCCAGTATTATCCAACATTTCCTGTGTTCCATATTATCCAACGTTTTCTAGTATTATCCAGTAGTACCTGTTGTCCTATTTAAATGTTCCAGCGTTGTCCAATATTTCAAATATTCCAGTGTTATCCAATATTTCAGCATTCCAATATTATCCAGTATCTAGTATTCCAGTGTTGCCAGTGTGTCGACGTTCCAGTGCTATCCAATATTTCAACATTCCAAGATTATCCAGTAATCCAGTGTTATCAGGTATTCCAGTGTTGTCCAATATTCCAGTTTTATCCAATTTTTCAGTGTTCCTATTGTATTCAGTGTTCCAGTGTTGTCCAGTGTTCCAGTACTATCCAGTGTTCCAGTATTATTCAATATTTCTAGTGTTTCACGGCAAGGTTATCCTGTGTTCCGGCATTCCAGTATTATCTAGCACTTTAGTATTCAGTGATATCTCATGTTCCATTATTGTCTTTTATTTCTAGTGTTCCGAATTATCCAGTGTTTCATATTATCAAGTTTCCGGTATTACGAAGTTCCAGCGTATCCGATATTCCAGTGTTCTAATTTTATCCAGTGTTCCAGTGCAGCGTTTCAATGTCATCTAGCGTTCCCAGTGTTATCCAGTATTCCAATGTTCCAGTGGCATTCAATATTCCAATATTATCCAGTATTCCAGTGCCATCCAGTATCCAGTGTTCCAATGTTGTCCAGTGTCATTTAGTATTCCAGCGGTTCATCCAGCATTCTAATGTTGTCCAGTGTTCCCAGTACTATCCAGCCTTTCCATTATTACTTAGTATTATCCAGAATAATGCTGTTAAGTGCCGAAAAATAATGAAGTAATAAAATTATTAGATAAATATTTATAAGAATAACCTTCTTTCAAAAATTGTACTTAGTATGCAAAGTGTTAAAAGAGTGCTATAAACATATTATGAATAAGTGTTAGCAAAAATGGAAAATTGGTATAGTAGTAGAAGCTAATCATGATCTCTAAATCCACTTATTTCAGCTCTTCAACTATTTTGATTATCCAGTTTTGACTATTTGTTTTTTAATTAAAGAAATCAAATTTGAGTTACGAAAATTCAATTGGAAAACTCAAATAATAAAAATAAAAATTTTATACTTAACTTGATTTTTCGATGAATATTGAACCTTATTTATAAATCCAATAGATTTAACTCTTTCAGCAAATAAGATAGGCAAAATTTATCTGAATCCATTGGCTCCAATTCTGATTGTTTACTCAACCATGTTATTTCATCTCATTTAAATGCTTCGAAGCATCCAATTTCAATTTCTATTTTTTCGGATGCATCATTAATTACTAAGTCTGAGGAAATTTTGTGGAAAAAGAGATTAGTATTATCTAATTCATGATAATAAAAGTGAATCTATTTAAAAAAAAACCCAAAGGTAGAGTAATGATAAAAAAAAAGATATATCATTTTCTGAGTTGTAAATCTAAATTTCATATTACCCAGAAACAAACGAGAAACCATGTTGGAATAGAGTGAGGATATTGAAATAATAAGTTGAAGTTTTTTTCCATTTTTAATTGATCTCAATTCAACAGATCTTTGATAGAAATATCCTTTTATCATCTTGTACCAAACCAAAAGTTGTTTTGGGAGTGAAGGTATTACTTAATTGTGCATTCTGTAATATGTAAAATAGAATCTTAAGAGCATACATAGCATAAAATTGAAATAAATAACTGCAGCCGCAAAGTTGTCAAGGTCATCCATTAAGTATATTTTGCGCCTGGAATCTTCACCCATAAATTTTTCTCAAGATTAATAATATTAAAAATTATCGAATGTAAAAAGTAAAGGAAATATTTATAAATCAATTTAACTTTTTTAAAATAAATAAATAAAAAAATACCTTTAAATAATAAGAAACTTTAAATTGGAGAAATGAAATGTGATAAATATAAATTCGCTTACCAGATCCATTAATTTCAACTTATCAGTTAATATGTTAAAGTAGTAGTTAGATGAAAAAAAATCACAATAAAAAATGCAAGTGAAAGTTAACCAGAGCTAGTAATTAATGCAAAAAAATAATAGTTGACAAAAAAAATATATTGATAAAAATTAATAAGACACATATGACAAAGAAGTTAGATGAGAAAAGGTAGCAAAGAGATAGCTCAAATTAACAAAAACATCAGTGAAAATGAAAACTTGTTAAATATTTGCAAGAAAGATGATGTTTAGTATAAGGAATCATTATTAGAAAGTTAGCTAAAAATAAAAACAAAATAATAGAAAATAAACGTGAAAGCAGGCATAGTTGATGATATATAATACATTGTTATTATTATTATTATTGGCAGAAAAACATCCACACAAGTATAAAAAAATAAAAGTTGTTAAAGATAAAAAGATATATTTACATCCAAGAAAATTTATATTTATTGTTTTCGTGAGAGGAACGAAGAGAAAGAAATTAAGAAAGTGGAAAAAAGTATTTCAACCAATTATTTGTGCACGCCTGTGATTGATCATTTATGATGCAATCGCTGATCACTTCTATCAAAATTCAATTACAGATAACAATTTGATTATTTAGACTAATTTTCCCATAAAATAAATTTTAATCTCAATTGTTATAAAAGAATTTTTTAAATAAATAAAATAGGAGAAAATTAACTTGAGCTTATTACAAAAATTTGAATTTAAATTCTTCAATAGCTTCTCTTATACCACTGGTGATTGTCACTCGAGGTCAAAATACATAATTCCCTGATCAACTTCTAACCCTAACTTTGCCCACATAAATTTAATTTTACCCAGTGATGAACTTTAGCAATTTTCATTCTTCGTGATAATAATCAGAATTTACTAACAAATTTATCAAATTAGAAAATTCAAATATTATTGATGATCCAAATTTAAAGACAGATAAAGATGAAAAGATGATCAATCAGGCGGTTAACAATATAATTAGTTGAGTTGTTATTTTAATAGAATTTTTATCGGATAAGAATTTTAGCATGTTTCAATAAACTTTATTAATAAAAATGAATACTACATAAATACATGAATGCAAATACATATCCATTTATTGATGACCATCGTTGCCTAGGTATAACCAGAATGCTTTTTTATGGTTATTGTTATTAAATAAATGAAAAAATTGAATTCTCAATCTAAACAAGTCTTTTAAATCTCATGTTACATAACCAAATGTCATTGTTTGTGAGTGCGTGAGTGATGTAAATTTAAATTATCGATAATCTTTGGTTTTAAAAGATATAAATTTATCCAATATGAATAACGCGATAAAACAAATAATAAATTAGTTATAAAAATTTGAAAATTTTAAAATAATAATTTATCATATAGAATAGAAATATAAATGAATAAACAGATTTGCAAGATGCTAAAAATATTAGGTGATATTGCAAATTTCAATAATAATATTATCATTATAAAATTCGCAAAATAGAAATCTAATTAAAATATCTATACCATCATACTAAATATTAAATTAAACTTCAATTATATTCTTCTTTACTTGTATTTCTTTCTATAAATTTTCGTTAAAGATTGATTAAAAAAGTATAAAACAAAACTAAATGTCGAATATTTAATACCATCCATCTTTCGTGATTCCCATTGCTCTCATGATAAATATTTTTAAATTAAGGATTCTTAAAATTGACTTCTCTATTTTTTCTTAAATTGTACCGTTAATTTACACATTATAATTTTCTATAAAAAAAAAATTTATCGAATCAGTTGTTAAAGAAAATACATAAATATTATATAAAATAAACAATAAATTTATGATTATTATTTACTCACCATATCGACAAAGACGACTTGACATAACTTGATCTGGCCTTTAACTTGTGATTTTCGATCGAATTTAATTCTTTACAAGTCTTTCTCACTAATATTTATAAAGTTCATTCAATTGTTTTGTAATCCATATACTTTTCAAAATAAATTTGACGAAATTATGTAATTATCTTCAATGATGGTCATGTCAAGCATTAAAATTGCTGAATATATCTGTTGGAGTATTTGATGTTATTAATAAGTTTAATAAATTTTCATTATTATTATTTTCTAGTAATACTTAAACAGAATATGATAATATACAATAACCGATAATAGAAAATAATATCTCAAGATTTAAGCGTATATATAAATATTCATCATAAAATAAATTATTAAATGTGTCGTTCACAAAGAAAAAAAAAGGTTGAATTCGTTAAAGTACAATAATTAAATATTTTAACAAAGCTCATAAATAATGTTAATCGATTAATATTTAATAAACCTACTTGATTTCTTTTTTTTTTAATACTTGAAAATGATTAGATAAGATCTTTATTTTTTTATATAAAATTTTACGAACAATATTTCAATTATATTAAACAAACTATTATAAAAATAGTTTGTGCACAAAGTATTATAGAAATTAATTTCATTTATCGAGTTGATAAGAAAGTAAATTATTGTTGCAACTTCAAAAAAAATAATTTGAAACAAATATTGATAGGATTTTTGTACGCATTGTGTTTTTAATTCGGAAAATGTAATATTTTTAATTACGAAGGTATGAGAAATTTGCAATCTTATTTCAATAATTATATTTATTAAATTTCGGTCAGAGAAGTCAGTTTTATATTTGTTTTCTATATTGTGTATTTTCAAAAATATTCTTCAATTAAAAATAAGATCTTTAATCAAAAAAAAAAAAAATTAAATTGTGAGAAAGAGTTTTAATCAAATAATCGATTATAATTTCTGATTTGTTTTCTTCTCTTTTATTGATTTTTTTTTTTGATTATTTTCTTGTTTTTTTTTTTATTTTAAATTATTTTTAACAAATACCTTTAATGTCCATTTGGATAATTTCGTATCAAATAATCTAATTGATTCGTTTTGCAAACCACTTTATTGTGGTCACTAGAATAATTTTTTTTACTTCTAATTTATAATCAAAACTTTTTAAAAAGAAATTTCACCACTAGCTTAAGTTGTTCTTTTTAATAATTCTTTTTATCAAAAATAATATAAATATTGAGAGCGACTTTATGTAAATAGTTATTTTGTATATCTTTTTTTTTTAATTAATTTAATTATTATTTAATTTTTACCTAAAAATATTAAGGATTTGAATCAGTAGGAACTCGACAAATCCTGAAGTTAATTATAACATAGTTGTTTTAATTTTAAAGTTATAAGTTCATTGATTTTAAGAACAATTAAAATATAAGTATAATTATTGTTGATTCTAGTGTACAAAAGAAGTAATTCAATCGATTAAAAGTTTGGACAAAATGGTTTCCTTAATTAAATACTCTTTAAATTGAGAAATTTTTTATTGTGTGTGGCGCAAGATTTTTAATCACGGTACATTTTTTAGTTTTAATTTCGTTTTAATATAAAGCAGAAATAAGTAATAATAATAATGATTATTTTTTTTGCAAAAAGAAATATTATCTTTTGATGATGTGATGTGTATAGTAACAATGAAAAATATTGATGATTTCATCAAAGAAGTCAGTCACATATTTGATTTTTTTTTTAGAATACGTTTTTTAATTGATTTCATTTAAATAATTTCAATTATTTCATTACTTTTTGATCATTAAATTTGAAATTGATTATAAAAATAAAATAAAATAAATTAATAAAATAACTCGATTTTCTTTTTATGTTAAATTCATTTTATTTGGTTCATTAGAAAAAAAAAATTAAGTGATATATCTGATTTACATTTAGAAAATTGGTTTATTTTTTTAAAAAAAATGGAATGTTCAGGTTTATTTATATTTATAAACAATAAATACAACAAAAATTGTAATGATAAATTGCCACAAGAAATAATAAATTATGGATCATATTCATCAAAAATATTTCTCCACTGACAATACTTCCCTAAGATCTTGTTTATCAATATAGTAAGTTTGACATAGTTTTATTCACAAATTTAGGCTTTAACCTTTTCAAAAATAAGGGTATTTAGATATCAACAATACAATAATGAAAATATTGAAAAACACCATTGATATATTTATCAACCAAATAATTACTTTCATGATTAATAATAATAAAGATGACTAAGTTTCATCATCGTCAATTTCAATGACAACAAAAAATTTTCAATAATTCAAATACTGTACCAACGTATCAATAATACCACTAACGCAAATAATGATAGTAATTATTATTATCATCAAATTTATAGTTTTCGATTATATAGTTAGAAACTTAAAATGTAGTACTGCGTTGAAAAAATCAAAACATTTTGAATAATTGAATAAAAGTATAACCATTATTTATTTTATTATTTGAAAAAATTCTTTCAATTTTATTTCATCATCATCATCATCATCATCATCATTACCATCATTATCATCATCATTACCATCATCATCATCATCATTATTACTATCATCATCAATAATCATTTTGAGAGAGAAGTTTCTTCTAATCATCTAATGGCTGATATATAATTATTATCGTTCATTTTAAATTTTAAAATTATTATTGTATCAAGCACATATCTTATGATGATGAATTCTGCTAAATCATGACAAGATTAAAATTTTTTTGTAGAAAAGTTGCTTTAAGATTCTATAAATGATATATTTTAAAGAGAGTATTTATACTATTAAATAATTATTTGTTTTCAATCAAATTTCAATATGCTAATTATTAATGATTTCCCATATCTAAGAAAAAAATTCTTTTACGCAAAACTATTATTTTTATTTATATAATGATAACTTGCATTGAATTTTTTAAAAAATTTTAAAGATAATTTAATAATTATAATTTGTAATAATATCCATAATTCTATGCCCATATGAGAATATTATATTTTATGAATTTTATGACTAACCTGTTCAAGAAACACGTGAAATTTATTTGTGCATTTTTATCATGAAAATAATGGTTTTCTTAATTTCACCTTTTCCATCAATGGTTCTTCTTCTATAGTTAGATTAAGAACTGAGACAGACGTTATATATCCTAAAGGAGAAGTAGTGAGATTTTATCAGATAATGTGCTTTACATATTTGATATGCAAAAATATAGTAAAAGACAAGAAACTATAAAGAATGAATTTGGAAAGTTTCTCAAAGAATTTTCTCAATAATATATGCGAACTAATCAATCATTATGTATGCATGCGGAATTAGTAATTTATTGTGTAATATGCTATTTATGATCATTGAAAAGAACACTCAATTTTTTGTGTTAACTTATATGAGATTTTACTACACCAAGACCTGCAATATTCTGTTAATTTCAGATATCATTATACCCAGCTTTATTTCTGGTCATGAATGAAATTAGTGGATAGGATTTTGGAATATGGAAATAGATTATTCTTTTTCCAATCAGTGAGAAAAAAAGATGAAAATCAAAGCTACGTATAAAGGCTAGTTAGCGAAAATTTATTACTTATCATAAAAATTTTGCTCATAGCGAAACAAATAAAAATATAAAAAAGAAATATTAACTTCGAGCGATATCTCTACAGTGGCTCATTTATTTGCTACCTTTTCACACACTTCATCTTTTTGTTTTCATACTTTAGAAAATCATTTATTATATTGCGTAGCATATCTCAAGCTACTGTTTCTTCCACATCATCTATATATTTCTTTTGAAAGTCGCTTATTACGTTGAGTATGATGGTTTCTTGAGTTGCAGCCTTCATTTTATTTTGATTTCCCTATTTCTTTGCTCTTCTCGAAGGTTTCTTATGTTTTTGTGCAGAACCCATTGAACTGTTGTAGTTGAAGCAGCCAGAAAGTCATCAGGCACATCCTTAACATTAAAATAAGACACATTGCTTGTTAATGATAGAACCAATATAAACACACATGCCTTGACGAAATAAAATTTGATTGGCCATTTTAGTACAATTAATAATGCTTGTAGAATATTCGGAACATAAAACAACAGTAGACCTAAAGCTTGCCCTAAAAAACTATAGCTATAGCCCAGATAACAATATATCCATATAAGAACGAGTACTAAAACTAATGACATCCCAAATAATGTAAGGAATAGTATATTAATTGGATCATAATCATGGCTGATTGCAATATAAATGATCCAGAATAATGGAATGATTAATACTAAAAAAATATAAACCAAGAAAATAGAAGTAAAGCTGAATACATTATCATCGTCCATCCACTTATCATAATTGTCTCGTATTGAATTAATGCGATAACTACACAAAGCGCATGCAAACACGCATTTATAATCGAAAATATCTTGATAAACAACAAATCACCATATGCAAAAGAAACTGTCAGAGGAATCACCCAAGTGACTGTGTTATACAATATGTCATCCAGTAATGAAAACAGTATCTTTTTAATTCTCCCAGATTTTCCAGAGACTTTAAAAAAATTACAAAAGTAATTGAAAGGAGGGTATTAAGAAGTGCATCAAACATATCTTGTCAAGATGACGAATAAGATTTGTCAACTATTGATGCCGTCACAAGTGTAAAGAGTGAAAAGAAAACGAAAATAAAATTCAAGAAAGTGAAGCCATACGATTTTTTTTCATCTTTTTTGGTCGAATATAGAAAGGATAGGCCCTTTGAAGAAGAAATTGATAATGAGTTTCCCATTAAACTTATTGTGTATTTTATATACAGTATGTCATAATCGTTATTAAACTCCTAAAATAAGCAAATTTTTTACTAAACATTTGTGCTTGTGCTGTATAACCGACCGATCTACATTGTTCTCAATAGAAATACTGTACATATAAATTTCTAATCGTCACTGTTTAACTATAACAGACCAGATACATAGGAAATCTTTTTTGGATATTTATAATAGATTTCCGTTTTTTTTTTTTTCAATGTAACCGAAAATTTTTTTGACTGTTCCCTACTATAACTTTATTGATTCCTTTAAGAGCATTTTCTTATGGCGCAAAAATTAAAAATTCCATCTCGCATAATGATTAGTACTGTTTAATTTTTTTGTTTTTTTTTGTGATGGCTTCCCCTTTTGAAGTGTAAATGGTATAATATAATTATACACAAAATAGGAACTCTGATAACCTATTAATTTTAGTGTTATTTATATTTTCGTGTAATTTCTTTGCTTGGAAAAATCTCCACGTAAATTTGCACGAAAGTTAATAAACTATTTAAAGATAAAGAAATAAATTTGCAAAAAACAAAAAAAACTTTTTTGTCACCTCTAATAAGAATAGATCATTGTAATTCTGAGAAAGATAGCAAACAATTTCTCTTGGATAAATAAACCATGAAAGATAATGCTTTTTTGCATCAAGTTATTATAGAAAATAAAATAAAAATAAAACATTATCAAGTGTAGATCTATTTTCATTATTAAATATATTTTCCAATTATGCGGAAAATATAAGTTTTATTCTAAAAAAAAAAAAATTCTGTTTTATATACAGTATAATAATTTCGAGATTTTTAACCAAGAATAGTAAATTAATTCAAATAAGTAAATATATGTTTTAGGGTAACTAGTAACAATTAATTTTTGAGGATACGTGAAGTCTAAATTTTACAATTCTTATACGCTAGTCATAGTCATTTGTAGATATTATTTTTATTATTTTAAAATTCGATTCATCATAGAATATTCTTTTTGCTGATTTCTAAAATTTTTTTTCGTCTTGGCATTAGCATTATTTTCTATAATTAGAATTTTTCAGAGTGATCATCTGCAAAAAAGAATATTCTTTCACGCTAAAATTTTTGATTGTTTTCTACTGCAGTGCGTATGTGCGCACTGTATAGCTTTGTTTGTCCCTTAAGGAAAATCGTTACTTTTCGATGATTTTTGGTGAATTATTAATTTATTTTTTTTTATTTTCGCCAAGTCGCTGCATCAAGCCTGAAAGTTATGGGATGCACTTTGCGGTGTGATCAATTTATTCCTTCGACGATCTCCATTTCGTTTTTGTTATAAATTTGTATTGTTTTTGAATATTCGTACAATGATATTTTACATATATAAAAATAACAATAATTAACGTTAAATAATAAATGAGATGACAATTTCTAGTGACAATTATCAAGTAATTACATTGCCCTTAATGCAACTTATTATTTCTTTCACGTTGAAATTTTTTGGTAAAAGAGCCATAGCCGTATTGTGGTGCCAAATCTCTGCTTCAAGCCTAAAAGTTATGAGGCCCACGATCAATTTTGTTCCTATACGATCAACATTTCGTTTTTTGTTATAAAATTGTTACAAATATGGTAAAGGTAAAGGAAATGATTTTGTATTTTTGATAAAATAAATGGCTCATTGATAAAAAATATATTTTCATTTGTTTGTGATGTGGTATTCGAAATGATAGATAAAATCCATTACTGATAAACTTTCTTATTATTTAATTAATATACGATTAATTTGTAATGCTGTGAATTGTGATAGTTATTCTGAAGCGATAATGATGATGATAAGTATCATCGAATAAATCATGATTCCTTTAATTTAATAAAAATTCTAATCAATGCACAATCAAAATGGATCAGATTTTAATATTTAATGAATATAATGAATATCGAGTATAATATTTTATATTTAATTTAATTTAAAAATTAAATTAATTGGTTTTGCTAATTATCTATATCAGATATTAAATGATTTTTTAAATAATTCCAATCAAAAAGCAATTTAGAAGAGATTGGACCTTGATTCAAGTGTAGTAAAATACATAACAAAGAAGAAAGATCAAGGTGAACATATTTATTTCAATGAAAGAATTTGACTTTGAATGCGTTGCTACTCTAAGTTGTTTAAAAGCATCTTTCACAAAGGAAGTTCAGAAATTTAAATAAAAACTATACATTTATTTTTTTAAAATCATAATTAGTAAAATATTTTAAATTAACCTATAATTCATTTTAATATTTCGAGTCACAAAAACCTTCCCAAAAAAAGAGTTCAAATAGCATGTGCTCTCGATTAGTCCTTGCTGTAGAATTCTATGCAGCGATAAATACTACTTCCGAGGTTCATAAAATTTGGTTACTGATAGATTTTGGCATAAAAGCAACATAAATTACAATAAAAAAAAATTTACTTTTTCTTTAAAGAAGCAAACTTTTACAAATTCAACAAATATTTCATCTGATAAAATATGTCCAGGATGCGTTAAAAATTTGCTGACTCTAATATGCTGTTATGCAAACTATCATTTATTACTTTTAAATTATACAATTTCTATGTAACTAAAATATTACTTATATTATAATATTTCGGAGTCCTATTTAATACGATGGATTTACCAAAACAATATACTTAAATCACATAGATTCGTTGCAGATATTATAAATTGTCATTTGATGTTCCCATTTGTATAGTATTTGTTGATATTTCATCCATCTTCATAAGATTCAGCTGTAGTTTATGAAACTATAATTTCTCAAATGGTTTCAAAAATGGTAGTGTGGATGTTGTGGTGATAGAGACGGAAGAGAAAAAGAAAGAAAGAAGAAAAAGAACGAAATATCGACGGGAAATGGTTAAAATATATTCTTATTAATAGTGAAAATAGTGTTGGTCATCTCAAACTTCTTTATTCAAGTATTCATTTTTATAATAATTTTGAAACAATTCAATTAAAAGTTTTTGAATCATCACCAAAACCACTTATTCTCCCATCACCATATAAACCTTATGCAACATCATATGGTAATATTGATAATAATTTAATAATAACAATAATTTAATTAACAAAAATTTTAAAATTTATAACTTAGAAGGACGATCAAATTTATCTACACCTAGTGTTTCTTCCGCTGTTAATTCTACTGAGCTGTCAAAATATCCTTCTTCGCCATTGTCAAAGAATTTTCAACGTTGACATTAATCAAAAATATTAATGGTCTTTTTAGTTACATATTAAATGCTTTTTAATTAATTATATGTAGATATAATGTAATAATTTAGGTTCAAATATTTTTATTTCTCAAACATATTAAATATACAATATACTGTATTTATATATATTGAGAGAATGAGAAAGAGAGATATATAAATATATTATATACATGCTAACGAAACTTTACTAAAATATTACTTCTAGTGCAGTTGATACTATTACTATTGTTATTTTATATCCCTATACTAGGGAAACCTAATCTTATAGTTAAGAAAGAAAGCGCCATTGAAAAAATTGTTACCACTACAATTTTCCAATGAGTGGCATCAGGCAAATGAATAACTTTTCGTGGAAGAACTGTAATTGCTTGGGTATCCAAATATACAAACCATGCGTAGGCGGGATATGTAAGTGCGTAGGTAAAAAGGAATGCTTGATATCTATTAATTAACAATTTATATTAATTTATGTTAATTTATATCAATTATTTTGAATACACTACTGTATATTATATTGTATACTCACATTTCTATTTTGTCAATCCATATAGAAGCCAAGATATTACCAAATATATGAAATCCTGACGCTACAATTAATAACAATATTTGATATGGATGATGAACAATTACATCATTTTCTGGATTATAAAAAACATTCCTTCTTTCTCCTCTTTCTTCATTATCATCATCTCTAATTAATGAATTAACATCAGAGTCATTCTTAATATGTTTTTTCGTGTTAAAATATGTTCGTGTGAATTGAATTACAAGTGCCCAATCCAAACAAAGACCTGAATAAAATTATGTTTGTTAAGTATTAATATCCAAATTTTATATATTAAATAAACAATAGTAAAAAAAAAATTACCTTGCATTTTAAACCATAATGCATCATAAGGCCAAGTTGCGAATAAACTCATTCCAGCAGTAATAGAAATGTAAAGTAAAAAAAATCCAATAAATGTACTTGATTTAATTCTTCCTCCATAATGCATATTAACTAAGATTAAAATTTCTAGTGCGTTATGCATTAATCCAAATGCTGCCCATATTTTTCCTATATCTAACCAAAAAGATATTAGATTCGTAAATGCTGTAACTAAACAATAAAAACCTAAAGTCTTATTAAATTCAAATGTAGGAACTGTTTTAACATCATTTAATATAAAAAATGTCATTTTTCTATTATTATTATGATTATTGAAATTCCATTTCATAACGAAATATCCAGATACACCCATTGCAACAGCCGCGTAAAATGACAATCCAACAATTGGTTCATCGTATCCTCTACCTATATAATTTTTTAATAAAAGAAAAATAATAAAAATGCTCATTATGAATTTTATCCGTGAATTTTAGGAAAAAAACATCCGTGATGAATTTAGGAAAACTTTAACTACCATTCAGTCCATCAACTGGAGGATGCCATGATGGATACCTAGTAAATTTCACTATATCTTGTTCAGGAATATCTCTATTATCAACAGTAATGAAAGTACCCAGCACAAATAAAAGAAAGAATACAGATAATGTTATTGCTAAACAATGGTTAAGTGCCATGTTTTAAAATCGCTTCGTAAATATTAATATAAATAATTAAAAGTTATTTATTTAATTTTTTTTTTATTTCAATTTTTTTTTTTTTGAAAATTTAAAAAAAAATAACAATATACTCTCGCTGCTTTTTATGATTATTTTTTTTTTCTTTTTAATAATTTTCATTGTAATTACTTTATTACTCTTTTCTTTCATTTTATTTACGAAGAATGGCTTGCCAAAACCGGTTATAAGTTCAATATATCAATTTCCTATTTGAGATTTTTAAATTTCGAACTCTATTTTTCCTATTTGAGAAATAATTTCCTTTTTTACTGTATTGATTTATACGCTGAGTAACAATAAATAAAAAAAGTTTATCTATATCTCTAATTACTATAATTAAAAAACAATAATTATGTTAGCGTTAAAGACAAGAAGAGGGCAAGATTATTGTACATGTTGTGCTGTATATGCTGAGCTTTATTTGAACGTGCCGGATATATTTGTATTTTGTTTTATTTTATTTTAATAACTAGCGAATATGGAATGGAACTTCTAGAACTTTATTTAAATTAATTAGAAGATGGAATGGGTAACTTCTAGTACTTTATTTAAAAATTGTATCAGAAATTTTTTTTAAGCGTAAATTTACGTAATGTGACGTAATATACGAGATTTATACGGGGTTGTTTTGACTTTAAACCGTAATATATCAGAGATGTCGGGCTAAAAGGATAAAACACATGTCATCTTGTAGCTCAGAATATGGGTTCATAAAAATACCTTAATTAAAAATCCCTCCCTGTCCTACAATTGGCGTAAACTTACGTAAAATTCGGGAATAATTACGAAAAAAATTACGGAAAAATTTATAGCTTTTTTATCGCGAAAATTTTCCGGGATTCTTACGCCTAAATAAATTTTCTGATGTGGTTGTTCTGTGACCAATTTTTAAATGAGATGTGTTGGTTTGACTTACATTTTTGGAAATTTCTTATAAACATATTACGATCTTTTTTTAAATCAATAACTAGAACGGCGAATTCAGATTAATAGCCACCACCAATATTTTCAATACAACAAAAATATTATGTAATTCTTTTCATTTTTAATTTTTTTTAAAAAAATAAGATAATTAATAACAATATTTTATTCTTTTTTAAAGACAAGGTATATTTTTATGATTTTTTTGACTATGACAAGACTTACATATGGGAACTTTTTTTTCCTTTGCATTTGGATGAAACTCTAAATGAAAATTATCAAAAGCTTCTTCAATTGGATATTTTATTTCTTGATTATAAACAATCCATTTTACTTGTTTTGGATATAATAATTTTGCACAATATACACATGCCAAACTTATATATTGTTTGAGAATATTTTTTTGAAATTTTTTTAATACAAGTTTAAAGTAATTTGTTAAAATCCAAGGTTTTAAATGCATAAAACTTATATCATTTATTGAATAGACGTATTGTCCAAGTTATTTGTGTTTGTTTGATTATTATTAGAATTTTGATTTTGAAAAGATTTTGAATTTGTGTATTATTTATTGAAAATTCATTCATACATTTTTCTGGTATATTTACCTCAAATATATTATATAAATAATTACTCATTTTATAGTTCAATCTCAATTAAAAATCAATCATATTTATGTTTTAATAAGTTAATTTATTTCTTTTTTTTTTGGTAAAAAATAAAATTTATTAGCAGATGGGAGAAAACAAGAAACCAACCAAAAAGCACTTCTCAATAATCTTGAAATTGGAGATTATAGAGCTAAATGTATTAAAGCTCAAGTGATTAATTTCAATCATTATGATGTTATTTTGAAAAAACAATTAAACATCAAGAAATATGACATTTTTACTTGCACAAATGATCTTTAATCTAGAAGACTAAAGACTATTTGTATACTTTATTATTTGATTTCTGAAATAAAAAGATTAGTTTTACTGTTTTAGAAAGAAAGAAATAATTAAAATACAAATCATAATTTCTTTAAGAAATTTCTAAGAAAATAAATAATAATTCTTTTAAATAATTTATTTATTTGTTTATCTATTTTTAGTACAATTAAGTTTCAAGATAATAATTTCACATGATTTTTTTTAGTGAATAAATAATTAGTAAATCTGTTCATTTGTTTCTTTATTTTGTAAAAAGTTTAATTTAAATAAAATATCAATTTCAATGATCATTTTTTTTAGAAATTAGAAAAAAGTGGATAATGAATAATAAATTCTTAAAATAAAAAAAATCAATTTCAATGATCCATTTTTTTTTAGTTAGAAAATTTCCAAAAATAGATAATCAATTTTGATGATCTATTTTTTTTTAGAAATTTCTAACATTGTTATCTATTTTTAGTGTAGCAGCAAACAAAAATCTTTAAAAGTACATGACTATCATATATAGCGATATTCAATTTTTTTATTATTATAAAACTAAAAAAAATAATAAAATAACTTTTCTTTTCTTATAAAAATAAAAAAAAACTAAAAAAAAAGATTATAAAAATGATTTTTTTTTATAAATAAATAAAAACCAAAAAAAAAGATTATAAAATAATTTTTTTTTATAAATAAAAAAAAACTAAAAATAGATAACATAATATATACACATATATAAGAACGGTTGATATTTTTTATGCAAACCAATTTCCTAATTTGTAATTCTTTGGTCAAGATTGACAAGAGTCTTCATAATAAACTGAACACAAACAAGACTTTTTATTATAAAAACTTTTCATCCATTCATAACATAATGTTAATAATAAATTGCATAATTTTTATTAATATCTTGAGATATAAAGTCTTTCTTGATGGGTTATTAGAATATTTACATTCCAACAAACAGATTAAAATCTGTAAACAGATGATGACATGTAACAATTTTTACGTATTATAAATAAGAAATGTTTTGTAACAAAAGCTTATTAGTAAGGCTTGACATGTTTATTTTTAATAGAGAAACAAGATTTTAAAGATCAGATTACATAACCAGATATTAGTAAATTCCAAGAAATTTTCAAGACCGGCGATCATAATGATCCATAAAATTAAAAATTTAATTAAAATGATAAATCCAACCATTTTTTAATTAGTTTGCAAAGTAAAACTTTTTTGACGTTATTTTCGAATGATCTGATTAGTGATTTGTCTCCTTTAACTTCTCTCCTTTATAAAGATACTCCTTATCATTGGAAGCAGGAGCAACAAGATGCTTTTCAACAAAATAAATATTATTTTTTTTTGAAAAATGCAGATCATTCAATTCTATATTCTCTTAAACAATGTATATTAGTTGCATTCCATTTTTTAAAAATAAGTGTCCAAAATAATATTAAAAACGATACCTTTGCCCAATAAACATTCGAATTCAAGATCAAGTTAAGTCATGTATATCACATTTTAGTCTTTAACCAATAAAATTTAGCTTCGCCATTAATTATAATATAATATTGATTGTTTTTAATTTTATTCTGCCTAATTATTTTTATATTTATTGTTATTCGCAACACAGAGACAATAACAAATCATGAGATAGTTCATCATCAACAAATTCGTTGATTTTAATGATTATTAATTTAACAAAACGATAAAATAATAATATTTAATTGATTGGAATATTTATTAATCAGATAGCACACGGATATAGTCTGACAATCATTATCACTTACTTGATACGCGAAGTTCCATAATTTAAATAACTGAACACAAATTTACCAAAAATGACACTAATGGCGACAGTAGCTAAAAATCACTTAGACGGTATATTTAGACGGATCTAGTGTTATTACAGAACTAAATATCATTATAGAAGAGAACACATTCAAATATATTGTTTTCATATGAGGTTATACTGCAAATTAGGTTTATTGCATTTTTATTTTTTAAAATTTAATAATTTGTGATCTGGAAGGGTCAGTATTATAAATTATTATACCTTTTGATATCTTTTGATACAGAGATAATATTATATTTATTTATTTCTAATTATGTAATTTTAGTAATTAATTAATTCGTTATGTTAATTTTAATAAAATTTCTCATAATTTATAAAAAAATTTCTAAACGCCCATCTCTTTTTAATTGTTCGAATAAATTAAATGTTTCATTTTTAAAATTGGGGTTTCAAATTTAATTACAAATATCATATTCCACTTGTTTTGTATTTAATCCATTTTTATATGCATCCATATATTCATAGATTTTTAAGAAAATTCTCTAATTTGAACTAAATCTAATGTGAACTTTATTCTTTTAAAAAATCCTAATATTTTCTTTGGTCTTATTTCTATCAATTTTTTTACTGTTTGGGTGAAATTTTCGTTGATTTCATGAGAACAATGATTCATTGATTTTATTATTTAAATAAATTATTGAAACACGAAATAATATCATTGAAAATATAAAATTTATTATACCGTAAATCTGCTCCAGAAAATCATAATTCAAATTTTCGAGTTTTTCTAGTGGCGAAAATGAATTCTATTTTTTGAATGATTATTTTTATTTCATTTTTTTATTTTAACATTTTTATAATTTTTATTTTTATTGTTTTTATTTTTTAATATTTTATTTTTTTTTATTTTTTTTCTTTAAAAGAACTGCCATAATTTTTGAGATCATGTTATTTTAAATCGCGTAAAAAAAATTTAAAAGTATGTAAGAGCCTTTTTTTCTTATATTGTTTTATAAAGTTTATTCTTTTACTATTTTTACTTTTTAAATTTTAATTTTTTAATAATAATTTTTCTTATTATTTTTTTTTCATTGCATTCTCTCATTGCTGATTTTTTTTAAATTAATTGCATGGTACCAACAAAGAAATCTGGAAGCAAATAAAAAATGTAAGAGATAATTGATCAGGAGGATGAAATATTACAATGCACCGAGATTTAAAAGAAAAGAGAAGTTTAAATTATTATTTATCATTATACTCTAAATTCTCATAATATGAGATTATTAAGCCAAATTTGGTACATAGAGCTGTGCTTTAAAAAAGAAAAAGACTTGCAAAATTATATCTTAAGAAAATACATTTTTTAAAAGGATTTGTTATTGGTCAATTTGTAAAATCCGGGTTAGAGTTAATTTTAGGGTCCCCCGGTAATACCAATTTTTATTATAGAAAATGCTGCGGACAGAAAAAGAATGTGAAAACCAATGCGGCATGTCGCAGGGTGAAAAAAAAACAAAATCTTTCATAAAAATCTACTGGAAATAGAAACTAATGAGAACTGTAAGGATGCAATAGATGATAGAAAAAATATAATATATTTTTTATTGCACATTTTAAATAAAAGTTTTTGCAGATTTTTTTTTATAAAAAAATTTTCGAAGAAATTTTAATTGTAAAGATTTTTTCAAAGATATTTAATAATGTTTATTTTTCAGCGAATCGTGATTTTAAATAATGGGGAATAGTTCTGATGTTAATAGTAATTGTATTAGAGATTTATATTTGTTCTAATAAAAATTTAAATGTTATTATAATCAATTGTTGGATTTTTACAAGGAAAAATTAATTAAATTCCCTTTATTGATATTATATACAGTAGATAAAAAAATCCTAATTATAAATAATTGAATTCTGATGATAAATAATTCGTTAGGAGTTTTAGCAGAAAAAAAAATTTAAATTATGAAAATATTATATAATTCAGAAGCAACTAAACAAATACGAAAATAGATTAGAATATAAAAATATATCAGACATGAGAATTTAATTGCTTAAATTTTGTTAATTTTTCAAGTTCTTTTTCAATATTTTCAGCATTCTTAGGTTTTGGAAGACTTGAAATATTGAAAAGTCTATCACTCCTGAATGTGTTTTATAATTCATTGGAGTTGGATTTGTTGATGATTTTGATTTTATTGCACTAATCAAATTACAAAAAAAAAACCCTCTTTTCTTTTAATTTTTGGATAATTTTTCAGAATTTTCAATTTGAATTATTTGGACTGTAATTTCATTAGTACGTATTACCATGACTATTATGACTATTTATTTTATGAATCTCATAATATTTCCACAATTCATCATTCAATTCTTCAAAAATTGGTCGATGAGTAACTCGAACATCCTAACATCTCATAATTATTCGAGTAATTAATTTTAATATGTAGAATGGAATTTTTGGTCGTAATCCAATATTTGCCTAGCCAATCAACATAATACGGGGTAAAACTAGTAATAATCACATAAGCTACATCAGCACTTTAGTATACTCCACTAAATTCTTCTGGAGCCATATGTGGCAATACATCAAAATTTTGTCTTTTTTCAAGATTTTTTGTATTTAGTCCCATTATCTTACTTATATCAAGATCTCAAATATGTATCGAATAAGAATTAAAGTTAGACAATAAAATATTTCCAGTATAAAAATCGGGATGGATTATGTCTAATTTATGAATCCTTTCAAATCAAATACTAATTGATTTAAAAAGTTCTAACTTTTCCAATTAATATTATCAAAATGATTTTCCAAACAGTCTCTAAAATTTCCACCAAATATTTTTTCTAAAACCATATATTCGAGTGTTTGTGTGATTCCATAAATTGAAGAGAACCTGAGTTTCTTGTTTTTAAGTGAACTGACCCCTCAAAAATATTTATAATAATTTTAAAATAAAACATAATTGAAAAAATTAATCGACATCTGATATCTTTCATTTAAGAAGTCTTCATTTAATTTAATTTGCAAAATTATTATAAAACTTTTTCAATGCTACATACCGCCTTTGACTATTTCTGAGCCACTGTTGATTTTTAGAATTCTATCCCAAAATTTGTCCATTCTATTTAGCCATGTATACTGTTCCAAACCCACCTTTGGTATTTCCTTAATATGTTTAAATCTTTCATATGGTGTCCCATTCTGTTACTTCCAAATAATCATTTTCATTTAGTCGAGTATCTTGAATAAATTTATTTATTATGTTATTTCCACTTGTCCATTTGTCAGAATCATTTTGGAAAGCACCAGATATCCCACGTATTCCTGACAGAAACATTTATTTGATTGTATTCTGGGCATATTTTATAAGATGACATTTTTTTGTTCACCTATATGTAAGGTAAAAGTTTACTTTAAAAAATAATAAATAAATTTTATTGGAGATGAAAATTGCGAAAATCATATATTTATTACTTATTTATCAATTGAATTACAATAATATTAGACAAATAATTCATCTATATTGTTTTAATTTAATGATATTTTATTAATAGGAGAACAATTAGAGAGGAAAATGAAAATGTTATTGTAGATGTTATGAAGTGTTTACAGTAATGACAAAGAGTTCCAGAAGAATGCGATTTCTAAATAAATATTATTATTTTTTTAAAAAGAAAGTTAGTTTTGCTATATATATTTTTTATTAATTTAAATAACGTGCTCTTTAAGTAAAATTCTCTAAATATCTTACCACATAATCTAAGATTATATTGATTTGAATCATGTAAAAAAATTTGAAAGTCGAGATAACTTTTTAATATAAAAGCCAATTTTATCTTACATTTATTTTAAAAAAGTTTTTTTTTTTTTACTTTTTTTTTTTAGCTTTTTTACTTTTATTTTCTATTTTTTTAATTTTTCTTTATTATTTTTTCTAATTATTTTATTGTATTTTTTATTGTCAATTTTTTTTTTTGATAAGTTGCATAATACCAATAAAGAAATCTGAAAGATAATTGATTAAGAATATGAAATATTACAAAGCACTGAGATTTAGAAAAAAAGAGAAGTTTAAATTATTGCTCCATATTCTCATAATTCGTGATTATTAAACCAAATTGATCTATTGCACATGTAAAAAATTTAAAAAGAAATAAATCTGCAAAAGTATTCTTATAAAAACTTTAAAGAAAAATAAAAAATATTTATTTTTGAATTTATGGAAAGAATCAACAGGTTTTAAAAATGGTACAATTATTTATTATTTAATTAATAATATATTTCTTTTATGGTATATTAATAGGAATTTATAAAAATTTCATTGGAAATGGTTATTATCTTCATTTTCAAAGTTTACTTATTTTTTTTTGAGCCACGTAATGATGATTATATTATTATTAAAATATCCATTACTATTTTTTCTGATAATCATTATGCCTACTTTTTTAATATTTATAATTATTGTTGTTTTACTTGTTGTGATGGCTGTTTTACTTATTTTTTCTAGACGTTCTTTTATTTTTCCAAACTCTCATTCTTATACTAAAAATTTGAGATAATAATTCGATTACTATTAATATGAAAATATTCAAATAACATTTATCTATTACCATTAGAAAAAGTTTAACATTATTATTTGTAATTCTTAATAATAATTATACATCGAAATATTGTAATGTTACTATTAGAAGAACATTATTGATTATTATAATGATTATGAAAAATATTTGGGTTGACTCATGAGAAAAAATGTCCAAATAAAGAAACTAATTAGAATTTATAAGTATAAATTTCTAGTTTAGATTTCCCATTTAATTTATCCGTTTTAAATTTTATTTTTGTTTTTCAAAAATTTTATTATTTGTTAAAAACATTCGGATATTCCGGATTCCAGAAATAATAACCGCTATACAATAAAAATGATAGCCATTATGCAAACTATTATTTATTACTTTACTTTTTAAATTATACAATTTCTATGTAACTAAAACATTATACCTTTTTTATGATAAATATGCAAACTCCAAGTATGATTTATATTTTAATATTTCGCTTCAATAGCATTACGTACCGATGGATTTACTAAAACAAAATACTTAAATTCCCATAAATTCGCAGCAGATACATATTTAAATTTTCATTTAAATTTCACCATTTTGATAGCATTTTTCACTTTAATATTGATATTTTATCCATCTTCATTAGATTCGGCTTCAGTTTATAAAACTACAATTTCTAAAAATGGTTTCAAAGATTGTAGTGTAGGTGGTAATGGTGGTGATAGAGTGCGGCAAAGAAAAAGAAAGAAAGAAGGAAATTAAAGAAATATCGACGAAGAATGGTCAAAATTCATTATTCAAGTATTTATTTTTATAATAATTTTGACCACCACTTATTCCTCTATCACCATATAGACCTTATCAATGCAACATCAACTGGTAATATTGATAATAATTTAAATAATATTAATAATTTAAATAATAATAATTTTATGAATTATAACTTAGATCATCACCATTTTATTTTATTTCGAATAATTTATTACCACAAAATTTATCTACACCTTTTGTTTCTTCCACTCTTCCTTTCTATTGAACTATTAAAATTTCCTTCTTCTCCATTGTCAAAGAATTTTCAACATTGACATTAATCAAAAATATTAATAATCTTTTTAGTTATACATTAAATAATTAGAAAATTTATTCACTGCATATGCGATGCGATGTTATCGCACTCCAAAAAATTTACCATGTGATATAGTATTTTGTCAAGTTATCACTGTTATACGTTATACACTGATAAAATAAATAATATCTCCATACTAATTTCTTCCTACCCAATTTCTTTCGATAAGAGTCCAGTTTTTTTCTCCAACTCTACAAAAAACACATTAAAGCTACGTTTAAATAACATTTCTATATTAACAAAGAAGCCTATTTGTTCAATTAACACAAAAAATTTGAGTTACATAACTCAAGTTGTGATTTGTAAAACAACAATTATGAAAGCCAAGAACGCTTCACAAGTTAGTTAATTTTGTAAATAATTTTGGTTGTTAGAATAGTATAAATGTATATGGGATATCAGTAATGAAAAAATTTAATTTATTAGTGTTAAATAGCATTAATTTATTCGCTATAAATATCAATAGTGATAGTAGTATTAATTTATTTATGTATCTATAGCATTAGTTGATCGTTATATAAAAACTATTAAATTATTAAATGGCATATAAAGAAATTGAACATGATGTTGAAATTGCCACGAGTATTATTCGTGGTTCAGAATTAGAAGGTTTTGACCTGAAAAATATCCTTCATTAACCAATCCTATAGAATTACGATTGGTTCTAGAACTTAATTCTTGGGGAATTGCTGAACATTATTTAAAGGAGTACGGAAGGAAAAAAAGGATTTGTGGTTATAGAGTTGAATTTGATAGAAAACTCAACATGAATTGCTAAAAAAAGAACATTTGCATGCGAATATTCTGGAAAGTATAAACCCGTCAAATCAAAGCCAATTTAACAACAACGTAATAAGGGTTCTAAAATAACTGACTGTAAATGGCACATTAATTTGAGTAAGCCCGAAAGCAGTGGTTTTGTGCATATAAAATTTATACACCTTGAACGTAATCACGAGATACTTGCTGATAATACAAGATTTGTTACAACATTTCGAAAATTTGATTAATCTTTAGTAAATGAAATTGAGCGTGCTGTTGTATTTGGACGTTTTTATGCATACACCATAAGAAATTTATTGCAAAAATTGTACTTTGATCAACTTTTCTTAACCAAGATTTACAAATGCTATTCAAAAATCAAACGCGTAAAATTACTGGATCAAACACATCTAATTTATTAAAATTTCTACTTGAACAAAAAAAGGAAGAGCCAATGATGTTTATACAACAATTAATTAACGTAGATATTAATAGGTTATGTGATATATTCAGGATGACAGCAACTCAAATTATATTATGGTTTTATTATTCAGATGTTATTTTACATGATAATACTTCAAGAACTAACAAATGTAATTTTCCGTTAGAATTATGTATCCTTGTTGATAATGATTGAAAATCACGTTTGGGAGCTCAGGCTTTTTTAAATGATGAAACTCAAGAAAGTTATGAGTGAGTTTTACAACAAACATTTGATGCGACAGGAATTGAACCGAAAGTTATAATTACTGATATGGATACTGCAATGGATGCAGCATGTCAAACAACATATTGTAATGCATTGTATTTGGCATATGGCTCGAAATTTACCCAAACGCCTCAAAAATAAACTTGGTACCAAAGATTTTAAAAAATTTATTCATAATTTCGGAAAACCCGCAATTCATTAAGTGTAGACGTTTTTGAGAAATGTTTCCAAGCTTTACTAGATAGGTTTCCTAATGGTAATAATTATTTGCGTAATCCTATTTATTCAACATGTTATTTCGTGGGTATATGCATTTACAAGTCAAATATTTACTGCTGGTATGCAGTCAACACAACGATGTCAAATCAATTAATGCAATTATTCACAAAGTTGTATTGTCCAACTCTACTATTGTTAATGTAGCTGAAGCTTTGTATTCTCAAATGCAAAAAGAAGGAATGAATAAAAGTTTTTTCACGTAGAAATAACATTCAATAATATATCACCAGCCATCTGTTGTGGAGAATTTTTTTAGCAATATTAATATTCTAATTCAAAATATTTTTCATCCCAGATTTTTGAAGGAATACACACAAATGTGTGAATTGAAGTTTATAGATGTAAAAAGTTAAATATTGAAGATGCATTTGAATTTATCGGAGATCAGCTGGTAGGGAAATCAGTATAATTTATTGTATTAATTACTAGTATTATTTAGGGTCAGAACGAAATTATGAAAAATCAAACATCCGATAATCAAGAAGAAATTAATAATATTGAGGACTGTTATGATTATCGCAACCATACTTAAGTGCATTATTTGAATTCAGTACCAAAAGAAAAAAAATTAAAGAAGTATGGCAAATTATTCCTTATATGGTACCGAAATCATATCAGCATATTATTCTTCTTGATGATCGAGCTCATTTTTGTACATTTTTGCTATTGGTTTCACATGAAATAATCTTCGTCACTATTTTAAAGATGATTGAAAATCCAAGTGCATTATTTCATATAATGTGAATGCCAACATGATGGCTTCAAGATAATGCTTGGAATAATGTTAATTCTATTTTTAATGAACCTTTTGTTAGAACATAATCTAAAAATTTTAAAATTTTAAAATCAACTCATGATGATGATACTAATCAAAGAACCTATATTCAAGAAGTTGAAGCTCATCAGTGCACACGAAAAAAGATAAATTATGGTTGAATCATGTGCCATTTTAAACGAGCTTTAAATTATTCATTCGATGACAATGATCAAGAGAATTTGGATGGTTGGTATTATATTAGCTTATATTGCAAAAAAAAAAAAATTAAGAATTCAATTGATAAATTAAAGACATCTGATGGCCGCATATACAGTATGATATGGATGGTATTGAAGATCGCGTAAAAAGTCGAGACCAGTTGTTGAACAATTAAAAGCTTGTTGCTAACAAAAAAAATAGGACATGGTATTTAATAAGACACAAAAGGAGAATATTTAAATAATGAAAATTTAAATTATTTTAGTGATGTGAATGGGCATAAGTGAGGCTTGTATCATAAAACGGGCCATTATTCTCCCAAAGGTCCTAATAAGTGAAGTATAATATACATTTTTAACATAGTATTATATCTAGTTTTTTCAATTTTTTTTCTAATACTTTACAATATTTGCGATATATTTTGATAGTTAATGATGAGAAGAAAATAAAGAAATAAATCAAAAAAAGTTTTTTAAAATTTGCATTTGTTAAATGTTGAAAAAATTTTACGTTTAAAATTTTTATTTTTTCATAATTGCAGTAATCATGTAATGGAAAATACGAGGAACGAAAAATTTGTTATATGGGAATAATACACGAAAAGAAATACTGAGTTGGCTTTCATAATTATTGTCTTACAAATCACAACTTGAGCTATGTAACTCAAATTTTTTGTGTTAATTGAACAAATAGACTTCTTTATTAATATAGAAATGTTTATTTAAAAGTAGCTTTAATGTGTTTTTTTTTTTTGTAGAGATGGAGAAAAAAAAAATGGACTCTTATCGAAAAAAAATGGGTGGGAAAAAAAACTTAGTATGGAGATATTATTTACTGTATGTTTATCAGTGATAACGTATATGTATAACAGTAATAACTTGATAACTGCAGTACGCGCCGTAGTTACGTGATAAATACTATATCATATGATAAATTTTTGGGGCGCGATAACATCGCACATGCGATGAATAAATTTTCTCGTAGTTAATTATTAATTATATGTAGATATACTGGTTTCAAATATTTTTATTTTTCAACATATAAATAGACAAAATATATATTACCATGATAAAATAAATATATATGGAGGGAGTGAGAAAGAGAGATATATATAAAATATTATATAAATGCTAATGAGCTTTACTACAATATAACTACTAATGCAGTTGATGTTATTGCTTTTGTTATTTTATTAACCTATACTGGGTAAACCTAATCTAGTAGTTAAGAAAGAAAGCGCTATTGAACAAATTGTTACCACTACAATTTTCCAACGAGTGGTATCAGGTAAATAAATAACCTTTCGTGGAAGAACTGTAATTGTTTGGGTATCCAAATATACAAACCATGCGTATGCAGGATATGTAATTGTGTAGGTAAAACCGAATGCTTCATATCTATTAAAAAAAAATTTGTATTAATTTATGTTAATTTATATCAATTACTTTTAATACATTGTTGCATATTTATATTATATACTTACATTTCTATTTTGTCAATCCATATAGAAGCCAAGATATTACCAAATATATGAAATCCTGACGCTACGATTAATAACAATATTTGATATGGATGATGAGCAATTACACCATTTTCTGAATTATAAACAACATCATTTCTTTCTCCTCTTTCGTCATTATCATCATCTCTAATTAATGGATTAACTTCAGATTCGTTCTTAATATGTTTTTTCGTGTTAAAATATGTTCGTGTGAATTGAATTACAAGTGCCCAATCCATACAAAGACCTGAATAAAAATATATTTTAAGAATTAATATTCAGATTTTATATATTAAATAAATAGTAAAGAAAAAATTACCTTGCATTTTAAACCATAATGCATCATAAGGCCAAGTTGCGAATAAACTTATTCCAGCAGTAATAGAAACGTAAAGTAAAAAAAATCCAATAAATGTGTTTGATTTAATTCTTCCTCCATAATGCATATTAACTAAGATTATAATTTCTAGTGCGTTATGTATTAATCCAAATGCTGCCCATATTTTTCCTATATCTGCCCAAAACAATATTACATTCGTAAATGCTGTAACTAAACAATAAACACCTAAAGCTTTATTAAATTCAAATGAAGAAACTGTTTTATCATCATTTAATACAAAAATTGTCATTTTTCTTTTATTATTATTATTATTGAAATTCCATTTCATAATGAAATATCCAGATACACCCATTACAATAGTCGCGTAAAACAACAATCCAACAAATGGTTCATCGTTGCCTCTACCTAAATAATTTTTTAATAATTATGAGTTTTTATCTGTGAATTTTAGAAAAAATATCTGTGATGAATTTAGGAAAACTTTTACTACCATTCAATCCATCAACTGGAGGATGCCATGATGGATACCCTGTATATTTTGCTATATCTTGTTTAGGAATATCTTGATTATCAACAGTAATAAAAGTACCCAACACAAATAAAAGAAATAGTACTGATAATGTTATAGCTATACAATGGTTAAATTCAGCCATGTTTAAAATCGCTTCGTAAATATTAATATAAATAATTAAAAGTTAATTATTTAATTTTTTTTTTATTTCAATCTTTTTTTTTTTCGAAAATTTAAAAAAAAATACAGTATATTCTCGTTGCTTTTTATGATTATTTTTTTTTTGCTTTTTAATAATTTTCATTGTAATTACTTTATTACTCTTTTCTTTCATTTTATTTACGAAAATTGACTTGCTAAAACCGGTTATAAATTCAATATATCAATTTCCTATTTGAGAAATTCTTTCCTTTTTTACTGTAACGATTTCGAACTCTATTTTTCCTATTGAGAAATAATTTCCTTTTTTACTGTATTGATTTACACGGAAAATAACATAAAAAAGCTAATCTAATCTCTAATTACTATAATTAAAAAACAATAATGATGTAAGTAATAACTAGCGGTTAAGGACAAGAGGAGGGCAAGATTATTGTACATGTTGTATATGCTGAGTTTTATTTGCACGTGCCGGATATATTTGTATTTTATTTTATTTTATTTTAATAATAGCGAATATGGAATGGAACTTCTAGAACTTTATTTAAATTAATTGGAACTTTATTTAAAAATTGCATCAGGAAATTTTTTAAGCGCAATATTACGTAATTTTACGGCTGTTTTGACTTTAACTCGTAATAAATCAGCAGGCATCGTGCTAAAAGGATAAAACACATATCATATTGTAGCTCAGAATCAGGGTTCTCGTTCGATCATAAATAACTTGATTAAAAATCCCTCTCTGTCCTAAAACTCGGGACTAATTACGAAGAAATTACGAAATTTTTTACCGCGAAATTTTTCCGGAATTTTTACATAATTTTTACGCCTTAAAAATTTCCTGATGTGGTTGTTTTGTGACCAGTTTTTAATGAGATGTTGTGTTGGTGTGACTGCTACATTTTTGGAAATTTCTATATGAAGATTTATAAACATACAATAGCGATCTTTTTTTTTAAATCAATAACAAATGTGCATAACTTTTATTATCTAATTTATTACCCAAATGTATTTCTATAATTATATTTTCATCATTTTTTAAAATTTTTATGCATTTATTCATTTAGCTTCTGTAAAACATTGATATATATTATGAATACTTTATCATATCGTGATAAAAAAAAAATGTAAGATCTTTGTTTGAATCAATATTTTAAAAAAATACGATTGATTTATTATGAAATTTGTGATACCGATAAATTTTATCAAATGGATTGAAGTTGTGAAACAAATGAACGTATTATGAATATTCAAATTTAAAATAATGACAATTATTATTATTAACGACAGTTTATTTTCTACAGAAAAAGAAGAACGTAACGTCAAAAGAAAATCATTTAGAATCAACTAATGGATATTGCATTATTGATTTGTTTCTAATCAGTTCCACGATCAATTCTATTCTTAACCAATTTAACGGTAAATTATTTTACGAAAACAAAGATTTACCCTTTATTTTCAATATTATTTTTTTTATACTATTTTATTTTTATTTTTTCTATAATAGTTGAAGCTAAACTTTCATGTTTATTTATCCAAGAGAAGATGTTTTGCAATTATTTTCCGAAACATTGATCAATTTTATCAGAAAAAAAAAGAAAATTATCATTATAATCATTTTTTTTTATTTCTTTTTTTTTTTTTAATAAAGTATATACAGTATAATATTTATATATCTAAATAATTCAAATAAGAAAAAAAATTAAATTTAATAATAATAAATAGCGGCAATTTTATTGTTATTACTTAAACATTTGAAACTATCTCGTAGACTTTAAATTTTTAAATAAAGAAGTAGAAGAATAAATCTGATGGCAAGAAAAATTTCAACATCGTGATGATTATTGAACTTTTCAACGTAAAATAATCTACCATGAACAACTACTCAATTCTTTCTTACATTTTCCATTTTAACCAGAATTATTTACAATTATTAAATTACTTTGTTTATATTTCTATAAAAAATATAATATTCCAGCTTAGTATATAATCTGTATTCAGTCAACTTGATTGTAATAAATTATTTAATAATAGATATCTCAGGATAAATTTGTGATTCATTCGATTTAGATTTTCCGTTGATTCTTTTTATTATTATTTTTTTTATTTATTATTATTCCTTTTCAATTCATTGTATAAAAATGATTTTATTCAGCAACAATCTTTCATATCAAATATCTTATAAAGCGATTAAATTATTTGCTGTCATCATCAAGTATTAATCAAAAGTTTAGACATGATTCATCCCTACTTTACTAACAATTTTAGCAATGTAATCATGGGCTTAATATTAAATTATATATGAGTATCAATTAAGAAGTTATAATAAAATATTTTATCTTATATTCTATATTTAATTTTAACATTTCTTTCGCTTTATTTCATCAAATACTATTATAGATATCTGTTATTAGTTTTTAAACTTACGAATAATCGAAAAACAACAGGAAATAACAGTAAAGCTAAAACTACCTTATAATGAATTTATAAAGGTGAAAATTTCAATCAGATTAAGTCTTTAATCTAGTAAAATTTAGTAGTAATATCGTAGTAATCTTTATAAAAGATAGAAATATAATTGTATATAAAAATAATCCGAAATAGATACAAAGACTCACAATTAGCAGTAATTCTTAATATCCGATTTTTTAGACGATTTTATACAGTGGTGATCAAAGTATTTATTCACTTTTGATTTTAATTTGTAGCATACAATTAAATGATGATAATATAAATTTATATTTATATTTATTATAAATCTAAGTTTGAGAGAGCTTAAGTAATGGATTTCATCCCTTGTAATAATATTATTATATTATAGAAATCGTTTAATTTATGTATAAAAAATGAGTTTTCAACTTTCATTCAAAATAATTAAAAATAAATAAAATTCAGAATTTGGTTCCATATAAAAAAAGTTGGTAATATTTAAAAATCAAGTGGATTGGATTGCTGGTTATAAAGAAATTTGAGCTCAAATATTTGAAAAAATCAATGATGGTGAATTTAACCGTATTTCTCTTTAACCAGCGATCCAATCTATTTGATTTTTCAAATAATACGAACTTTTTTATATAGAACCAAATTTTAAATTTTAACTTTTAATTATCCTGAATAAAAATTAAACAATTTCTATAATATATTATTATTATTATACAAGGGATGAAACTCATTGCTTAACTTGGCTTTATAAATATGTGCTATGTACAATTATAATCAAAAGTAATGAAATACTTTTTTATCCAGTAAAATTGCTTTTACACTCGTAAATTCCGAGTATAAATGTAATGTTTGTAAATAAACTTGAATAAAATTTTGTAATGATTATAAATAAGCAATAAAATATCAATTTGATTTTTTTTTTTTTTGCGTGTCTAAATTTCGAAGCAATTTTCAACTAAGCGTGAATACAGATAATAAATTTATTTGATATTACCTTTTGTTTTATAAAGAACAAATTTTTTACTTTATACATTAAAATAAAAAAAAATGTCATCTGATAAAATGTGCCCAGAATGCAATACAATTATTCCTCCTTGGGCGTGGTGCAAACCGTGTGACTCAAAACATTTCCGAAATGATTTTGATAAATGGACAAGTATTCAAGATGTTCAAATAAATTCAACTAGTGCACTTGAAGTAATAGAATGGATACCTTATGATAGATTTAAAGATATTGAAAAATTATCAAAGGGTTGTTTCGGAACAATATATAAGGAACGTGGATTAATGGACCAATTTTGCGACGGGATGTTGAAAATCAACAGTGGGAAAGATGCGGTCAACGGGAGATAGCATTAAAAAGTTTGATAAAAAATTTACAGATTTAAATGAAGATTTCCTTAATGAGTATTAATGTCAGATATGTAAATTTGTTTTGTCAATTTATATATTATATTAAATTAAAAAATAAATTATTAATTAGATATTAATTCATTTGAAAGCAAGCAGAAATTATGCTTCAATTCCAATTTGTGGAATTGCTCAATATTCAGAGACAAACGAATATATTATTGTTTCAAAATATATGCCTAATGGAAACCTTAGATCCAGTATTATTTGAAAAATAATTTTGAAATATATATTCGGAACTAAAATTAGGCTATTTACAAAAAGTGGCACTTGAACTTAAAAGTATTCATAAATTAGATATCATACATCGTCATTTACATCCTGGAAATATTTTATCTTATGACTTCAAAATATGAAATATGTGTAGAATGAAAATTTTTAGTCTAAGCAATTAATAGGACAAAATGTAAAAAATCCAAATTTTTGGTGTTGTCGCGGTTTGCGCAGAACAAGTGGAAATTAAAGCCAATCAGTCTCAATAAATTTGGGTCAATCACACGATAATTCAATGTACTACTAACACACTTTCTCTTGTGCGCAATATCCTAAAAC